CGGCGACTATATGATTATCCTTTGGGGAGCATAAAAATTTCTTTTCCTTGGATAAGTTTTACATGCCAGTTTTGCATATCTCTGAAACTAGTACAGATACAAATTTGAAACTTCATATGTATATTTGTGGTCATGAATAATGATCACTGAACAGCACTCATATATATGTCATGTATTTAGGCTGATTTATCTCCCCCTTTTTTTACTTAGTCTCTTGGTTAATTTTACATGTAAGTTTTACATATCTCAATAACTATCGGAGATTTCTATTAGAAACTTCACATATGCATGAAGGATCATAATTGTATGTCACTGACCAAGTTCCATAACTCTATCTTGCATTTAGGCTGATTTATGTCCCCTTTCCTACTTAGTCTCGTGGTTAACGTTATCATGCAAGTTTTACATATCTCAATGACAATCAAAGATAGTTGTCTAAAATTTCACATATGCATTTAGAATCATAATTGTAGGTCACTGACTAAGATTCATAATATTTCTATCTTGCATTTAGGCTGATTTTCCTCCCCTTTTGAGCTTTATATGTTGATCAACATAAAGGTGCAATAATTATTACAGAACAAAGGTATTTTTGTAATAGAAACTTGCAATAAAAGCGGCGACTATATGAATATCCTTTGGGGAGCATAAAAATTTCTTTTCCTTGGATAAGTTTTACATGCCAGTTTTGCATATCTCTGAAACTAGTACAGATACAAATTTGAAACTTCATATGTATATTTGTGGTCATGAATAATGATCACTGAACAGCACTCATATATATGTTATGTATTTAGGCTGATTTATCTCCCCCTTTTTTTACTTAGTCTCTTGGTTAATTTTACATGTAAGTTTTACATATCTCAATAACTATCGGAGATTTTTATTAGAAACTTCACATATGCATGAAGGATCATAATTGTATGTCACTGACCAAGTTCCATAACTCTATCTTGCATTTAGGTTGATTTATGTCCCCTTTCCTACTTAGTCTCGTGCTTAACGTTTACATGCAAGTTTTACATATCTCAATGACAATCAAAGATAGTTGTCTAAAATTTCACATATGCATTTAGAATCATAATTGTAGGTCACTGACTAAGATTCATAATAATTCTATCTTGCATTTAGGCTGATTTTCCTCCCCTTTTGAGCTTTATATGTTGATCAACATAAAGGTGCAATAATTATTACAGAACAAAGGTATTTTTGTAATAGAAACTTGCAATAAATGGGTAATCATAACATGGCAGTTAGTTAGTAGGGGTCATCTACTAGTTATGACCAATAACTATGTGAAATATGAAGACTTTGTGATAATCAGCTTTCAAGATAATGAGCTGAAATCATACTACAAAGGACTCTGTGACATTGACCTTTGACCTGTTAACCTCAAAATCAATAGGGGTTATCTACTAGACTAAGTTATGTCCAATTAATATGTGAAATATGAAGACTTTGTGACAAATAGTAACCAAGATATCAAGCGGAAAGCATTCTTACATTTATGGCCCCTGTGACGTTTGACCTGGTGACCCAAAAAATTAGAGGTCATCAACTAGTTATAGTCACTCAATTTGTGAAACACGAAGACTTTTTGATAAATTGTAACCAAGATAATCAGCAGAAATCATAATATCATTCAAGTCCCATTGAACCTTGAACTTTAACCTAGTGACTCCAAAATCAATAGAGTTCATCTACTAGTAATTACCATTCGATAAGTGAAATAAGAAGACTTTGTGATAAATAGTAACCAAGATAATAAGCGAAAACCATTTTGACATTTAAGGCCCCTGTGACTTTGACTTTTGACCTAATAACCCCAAAATAAATAGGGATCATCAATTAGTTATGTGCAATCACTGTGTTAAATATGAAAATTTTGTTATCAATATTAACCAAGATGATGAGCGAAAACCATTCTGGCGTTTAAGGCCCCTGTGACCTTGACCTTTGACCTAGTAACTCCAAAAATGACAGGGATCGTCACTTAGTAATGAGCAATCACTGTGTGAAATATGAAGACTTTGTTATCAATATTAACCAAGATGATGAGCGGAAACTATTCTGACATTTAAGGCCCCTGTGACCTTGACCTTTGACCTAGTGACCCCAAAATCAAAAAGGTCATCAACTAGTTATGGCCCATCAGTATGTGAACTATGAAGACTTTTTGACAATTAGTTTTCAAGATAATCAGCGGAAACCATGTGGACAGACAGACCGACGGACCGACATTTGCAAAGCAATATACCCCCTCTTCTTCGAAGGGGGGCATAAAAATAAGGGTTCCCGATAATTGAATCTTTTTATGTATTTTTGTTCACATCTAAGGGCCTTTTTTATCATTAATGTGTACTCTTGTGTACAGAAGTACTTTTGCTATCATAAGTATTCACATCTTTATTAAGACACTTTTACACATTGCAATTTGACCGAAAGTGTACTTTGTTCAAAAGTGTTTTTGCTATGTTCAAATGTTTATTTGCTTTTATGATATTCAGATTCTTTTTGGTAACTTAAGCTTATGACGGCATATTCCATTTTGTATATTCATAAATACTTATAAAAAGTACCAGTTGCTTCATATATAACTGAATCGTTTTGAATAAAAATTTCAATTATCACTTGCAGTACTTCAAACTTATTTTTAAAAGTCATGTTCATAATAATATTTAAATAAATAAATGCATTACCACTAAACTAGCCTAGCTAGCGCACAGGTAGAGTGCTGGTCTGTTGAAAGGTAGACCTGTATTCAATCCTAGTCCTTTCCATTAGTCCAATGCCATGATTTTAATAATTGTTTTTATTGTCGAGCATGCTGTCATCGGACAGCTTTGATTTGATTTTTTTCCAAATGTATGCTCCTTTTTATACTCAATGAAACTCATGGTTAAGTTTTTGCTTGTAAGCTGGTATCTCCCTTACTACTGAAGGGAATGGAATGAAACTTAACATACATTTTCACTGTCATTTCTAACATGATTGGCACAGGTCCCATAACGCTTATTTACTTATTTACATAATTATGCACCTTTTTATACTCAATGAAACATATTTGTGACAACTCTATCGGATAGTCGAGCAGTGCTGTCCTCCGACTTTTGTTTTATTAAGAAATGTTTCTATATATTTTAAACTACTGCTTTAACTTTTGTGTGCATGCATAAAATAGACTTCACACAATCTATTCTTCATATAGCAGATTTAACAGAGGGAAAATAAACGCTAAATGATGTAAAACTGTTTTTCATTCATTCATGAGTACTATTACTCGACATCTATTTAAATTAATTTATAAGGAATTTTTCATTTACCCGTGAAACATGTATATCTATATTAATCAGTTTAGTGATAAGAAATGCAATAGAGATATTTCGGACAACCATACAGTGACTTCTAAAATAACTAGAAAAAAGATTTTCTTTATTAAGTTAGCAACCGTAAATTGAGTAAACATCGCCAGTTGGGATTTCATTGTCAATTATCTCTTCGGGTGTTAATATATTCTCTTATTTTTTAATGTTTAAATGGTAATTCTGTATTGTAACACGTGGATTCAAAAGGAAATGAACTTGACCTTTGGGATGCTTAGCAAAATTTTATCATCACATATCACCATTATCATTAAAAAAATTTAATAAGCAGCATATTTATGCATACTTATTTTAAAGCTACATGCCTCCAGATGAGTCAAAATAGTTCAATAAGATCAAACTTGAGAAATGTACAGAGATATAAGGAAAAGGAAAAGTTTCAAGATTCAAATAACATTTTACATATAATTTGCGATTAATGTCTGATTTCTTTAGTATTTAGAACTATATTTTTACTCTACTGTGTTACAAACGCACTTTAGGCTATTTATGCATATTTTGACCACTTCTTGGTAATTAACGCGGTTTTAAGTGCCATTAACAATATGTAAATTTATATCTTTCGGTTACTTCAAAATATTACACATTCAGATACATTTTCAAAATTGTCATGCAAATAAGCATGTATCTGGAGGCGTGCTGCTTTAAAGTCCTAACCTGTATGACAAAGCTGTGCAAAAAAGGTATATTCACAATCGTCAAGTTGACATACATGTGTGACCTTGTTCTTTGAACATATATGCGCAGATCAACACTATGTATCATGACTTTGGAATACATGTTTGACATTGACCTTTGAGATAGGGAGCTGATACATGCTTGTGACACGCTGGCAATATATTCAACATTTTTCTGCATCATAATTGTTAAATCCATCCAGGAATGACACAGTTATTGACCGGATATGAACATCAGTGTACTTTTACAAAAAAATCATATCATGACTTTTGATCTGCATGTGTAACTTTGATCTTTGATGTAAGGACCCAATTCTTGCGCACTACAAGTGGTCATTACTATGTCCAACATATCCAACACATTTGCATAATACATTTTAAATCTATCCACCAACAATGTTGACGCATCATGAAATTTATTGCATTTTATGTTATTTTTCCTTTGAAATTAGAGTGTGACATTGACCTTAAAGTTTCATATCCATATGTTATGCATGACACATTGTCCCATGCTTCCCATTTATATACAATTACTTTCATACCATCCGTAAACGGCAAAGTTATGAACTGGACAGTATTCGGACGAAAGGACAGCGGGGTGGACGGAAGAATGAATGGTACAAAACTATATGCTTCCCCATATAATTCAAATTCGATAGTCCATAGTATCTTATAAAAACACAAACTGCTAGCTAAACAATTAGTTTGATTACAGTATCTCATTTAAAGTTATTATTCGCATTTTTTCTGGTTTTAGTACGAGTGACCTTTATCCTGACCACACGGAGCCAAATAGCATTCATTAACTAGTCGTATTCCAAATAAAAAGCTATGTTCTTTGTTTAATTATGATGTCTCAGTCCTAACTATTGTTATTAGCTTGAGACCTTTTTTTCTTCTTTTTTTTCTATTTTTAGCAACAGTGACCGTTATCCATCATTTTGATTTCTTTATAACTTGTGTTTTTGTTCTTTCATTAACAAGTTTGTATTACACTGTTAAATCATATTGAGACATATTTACATGCAACATCGAGTATCGAGTGTAAAAAAGTGGGAATTTATGGATATAAACTCATTGTGATTTATATAATGTTGCACTTTAGTCGTCATTTAAAACTGGTATACCAAATTAGCTCAAATACAGCCGGATATCAGCTTTTAAAATGTTCAATGAGCACTTAAAATCAAACCAAATACTCATATTTTACATTAATCAATCAGATTCATATTGTAAAATAATAGTGATAACCTGTGTTAGTTTATTAACAGCTTTCTTTGACGCCTCTTCATTAATCAGACACTTTGGATCTTGAAGAACAACAATGAACGCGTCCAAATAAGAACACACAGTTGTTTCGTCGATTTCAAGCTTTGACCTATGTAAAATTTCATTTCGGATGTCTCGCGCCTGAAAGAAGTTTTAAAATACATACATTTGTGAAGAGGAAGGAATCATAACACATAATTCCACTACTTTTTACTTTTAATTCTTATGTATAATCATAAAGAACATTATTATTTTCTGCTCAAGGTTAATAAGGAATACTTGGTTATAATGATTTTTTATACGTTTAAGCCTTACTAAGGAAAGTCTGCAGTTCGAGTTCATATTTAAACGTTTACATTTCGATCAAGGTTATCTTTAAAATAAAATGGCAAAATGAAATTTTTAACAAGTAAGTCTAGATCTATTCAGTAATTAACTTAGTATATTTATGAATATAAAAATCATGTATTAATCATTGACTGTTTCCTGTACTTACCGTATGAAACGAACTGGTAGTATCAGGATTAAACATGGTCACAAAGTTTTGTATTGACTTGTTGTTTATAATAATGCTAAGCAGACCAGCAGCATCTGTATCTTTAGCTGATGTCCCTGGACCTTTAGTTGTCTGGAAACATTTTGCATAACTCCACCCATTAGGATCCGTACACCACGTACTTGGGTCTGTGTTCTTCCATAAGGGGTCTTTAAATGCATGCTCATCTATAATTGCGTCGTAAAATTTACTGCAAATGCCATCAGGACATTTCCTACGTCCGACTGGTTTGCTTCCAAAACAGTTGTTCGAGGTCTTTTGGCTACATGTCCATCTGTTACATGCCTTCGTAGAATTGAAATGTTCTGGAGAAAGATTATTCTCTGTACACTGGTTGCACTGTTGTGATGATCCAGATGGTAATGTCAATATTATCTTTTGAAGGGTATTATCACGACATTGCAGTACTTTTTCTCCAACAAATTCTTGAAGACCTTCCTTTAAGTATTCAAGACCTTTTGATCCTCGCACCCAATTCTTAAACAGATCTTTATCCTGGTTCTCACTTTCCATTATTATAATAGCATTTTCGAAACAGGTCAGTCTGAATGAAAATATATCTATAAATGTTATATCTTTATAATGTAATATGATGGACATTTAAATCATGCCAATGTATTCAAATTAAAACTCAAATACCTATATTTATTTACTTTTATGCTTGTTTAATATGCTTAAGGGTATAAAATCTCATATTCCCAAAAATCATTTTGTTCCTATTTATGTTTCATCTTTGGTCATCTTTGGTTTAAAGGTAACCATGGGAGGACTTCAAGAGTGAGAAAAGTCCTTTTCACAGCATAGCATAGCACAGCACAGCACATAATAGCAAACCATACGGCAGGTGACCATGAATTTTGATAAATAAATATGTGATTCGTTGGGTTAACGCTTCAATCTACAGTATAATGCACATATAGTTGACGAGACATTCATTTCATGCAGCATACAAATTGTATACATACAATTTACAGTCATGCAGTTTAAATGTATTGCGGTGTAAATAATTACACAGTAATGTTATAAATATACTTAAAAAATAGAGAAAGAATAGGTCTTAAACAATATCAAAAGAAGAGATCGAACCATCTCATGTTCTTCGTTAGCATTATGTATGCAATTCACGAGGTACTGAAATCATGTAAGTTGAAAAATATCAAAAGACAATAATTAAAAAGAAAATATTAAAATGAATGCCTTTTCTAGCATTCGGACAGTCATGGAGCGAACACTCTACCACTACGCTTATACGCTGAAGGGATAAATAGTAAACAAGTTAGATGTTGATGATGGACATCAAAGACACCGCCAAATGATGTGAACAGTCACAGGTAATGTACACAATCAGCCTTGAAAATTGTTCTCTATTACAGTTGGATATCTGAAGCACAAATCGATTTGTCTTGGTATGTGCTCGTTGTTTCATAAGTTGCATATTTTTGTGAAAAGGTAAAAGTTAATGCATAAATTCACAAAGTAATGTCATGTCTGAAATTCTTAGTAAAGATGGTGACAGCATGTATGACAATACGTAGTCTTAATTACTTTAATCCGTAGCAGGAGAGGGCTATCCCCGATGCCACATGTTGCAAAGCTTTCATAACCTGGCTTCGAAAGTTTTTCTCCTTTTTATGCTTCTTATATCTGAAGGGCTGAAGCTTGGAATCACACGTTTTCCCTTTATTCTGGACTTTACTTTATAAGAAATAAACAAAACACCAATTGTATGTATTTAAGTTATTAAACTAAATACCAGACTCTGACAATAAATTAGTTCTTTCTTGGATAGTAGTCAACAGATTTAAATCAAAGACTTTTCTTTTACTATGGAATAACTATATCGAGGAGTGATTCATATTGACATTTATTTAAAAAAGATTGCTAAATAAATATAGTTGACAGACGGGGGTTTGCAACTTTTGCTACCACTATAACCTTATATTTGTTCTTTCTTATCATTTCAGAGCAAGCAATATTATAACATATTTTTCAAGCAATTTGCTCCATAAAATTTGATAAAGAAAAATTGTCAAAAACAAAATAAACTAGAACTATCGCTAAATGTGATTAATACCCCGCAAGACTGCTTCGGAAATGATGAAGTTTACTGATAACAGAATTTCTTGCAAAAGAACTGAAATAGAGCTATATAGTTGTGGACAATTAAAGATAGTTTTGGTTCTTGTATGTTGCATTTCCTTTCAATGTGGTTGACCATTGATGAAGTTTTATTGAATTACTCTGTAATAAGTCCCAAAAGAGTTACGCTTCTTGATCACTACACTTCCTCTCATTGCGCTTGAAGGTTTCATTAAATTCTAAACATTGGTTCTAAAGTTATGCACCACAAGGAAAAGGAACAAAGGGAAATAACTCTACAAATACTGAAGATGGAGTTATGGTTATTGTACACTGCACCTTTGCTCATTGTGGTGACCATTGTATGAAGTTGTATTGAATTTGAACTACTAGTTTTCAAGATATGCACTGGAAACAAAAGTAACGAAGGGCAATAACTGTAATTAGTTCAAATAGAGTTATCGTTCATGTGCACTGTACTTCATCTCACTGTCGTTTACCATTGTTTGAATTTTCTTTAAAGTCCAACCATTAATTTTCAAGTTATATACTGGACAATAAAAAGTTACAAAGGGCAAAAACATTTAATTGAGTCAAAAAAGTGTTATGGTTTCTGTGCACTGTGCTTTCCCTCAATATACTTGACCATTGTATGAAATTGTATTGAATTCCAACGAGTAGTTTTCAAGTTATGCTCTGGACAAGAAAGAAGCAATGAAAAAGTAACAAAGGGAAATAACTCTATAATCACTCTAAACAGAGTTATGGTTCTTGTGCAATGCACTTCCTCTTATTGTGATTGATCATTGTATGAAGTTGTTTTGAATTCCAACCAGTACTTTACAAGTTATGCTCCGGACAAGGAAAAGTATCAAAGGGCAATAACTCTAAAAATAGTAAAGATGGAGTTATGTTTCTTGTGCACTGCACTTTCTCTTAATGTTCTGAATCATTGTATGAACTTGTATTGAATTTCAACCATTAGTCTTTGAATTATGCTCCGGACAAAAAAAGCAATGGAAAAGTAACAAAGGGCAATAACTCTGTAAATACTTTAGAAAGAGTTATGGTTCTGTTGCACAGCACTTTCTGTTATTATGCTTGACCATTGTATGAAGTTGTTTTGAATTCCAACCAGTACTTTTGAAGTTATGATCCGGAAAAGGAAAAGTAACAAATGGCAATAACTCTGTAATTAGTCACGATGGAGTTATGGTTCTTGTGTATTGCACTTCTTCTCAATGTGGTTGACCATTGTATGAAGTTATATTGAATACTTCAAGTTATGGTCCGGACAAAAGAAAGCAATGGAAAGGGAAACACCTACACTGTTACAATCATTAAATGTAAACTGGCTCATTGACACGTTATTAACTAGGAAAATGAAAAAAGATGAAAATAAAAAGAATATGATATTTAAACATGAGTTGAACGTATATTTTAATCCTTAATTCCTTAATGTTGAACATCAGAAGAGCTATTCTTATCAGAGGATCTAAAAACAGTAAAATTTTGATAAAACAAATAAAATAAACAAAAGAAACACTAAAATCCCCCCTTTGCTGAATGAATGAACGAATGCATATCTACCATAGCAGCCGCGTGCACCCGGCGTCTAATAATTGTTTAGGTGGTAAAAGATTTAAGTGATAAATTATATGCTTTTCTATAAGAACCCCAATTGTCAATATTGATGTAAACAGATAATGAAAAGAATGTCGAATTCGAGCTTCCTTTTAGTTTAGCTGCGCGTATTATCTTTTTATTGGTTGCACAAAATTGTATCCATTGGAATGTGAAGTCGTTTACATTTGTCCTTTAGTTTAGCTGATTGTTTGATGTTATCAATCTGTCAAATTGCAATTGTATACAGATTTTACGGTCAGCGCATACACTATACTGTATATTTATCTTTGATATATTTCAAATTGATATATTTTTGGTAAGACTGTAAGATATACGTACGAGTAAGATGTTTTTGACTTTAATTTGTTTTTATGAAATAGTTATACTGAGCTTTATATCGTAATTCAAATGTAAGAGTTTTGTACATTTCCTATACTTGTTGAACGACCGAGACCGCTAAGTTCCATGATTGTTTTCTTATGTATATTTAAAACATTACTGAAGCTATGTCTGATTTAGTTGTTGTGTTTGTTTTTTTATATGATGTACATTAATTTTGTTTTGGTTTAAAATTCTTTTTAAATAATTTAGTTTAAGAATTAAAAGCGAGCTCGAAGAGCTAGCCCAAAGGGCCTGCTCGCAAAGCAAGTTTCGGTAATGCGAGTACCTGCTCAGCTAGATCGTGATGGTTTTGAAAACTATCGTCCGAGGTACTGAATTGACACATCGCTTTTTTCGAATTACAAGATGATGATGAAAACCGAGGTACTCTGATTGAAAACGGAAGCGAAGACTGGTGTCCTGTGCGCTTATATATGAATCATAATAGGACAGGGAACCAGAATAAACGGAAGCAGTGTATAAAATACCGAATGAAATCTTAAAACGGAAAATCTAAAATAAAAAATGAACGATTATTTTATACTATTTCAAGGTAAAAGTAAATCGAGCTCGCTTTGAGGCTTTGCCTTTTTCATATTATATAAAATTTGATCGGATTAAAATCAAGATCCATAAAATAAAATACAAAACAAGCAGGGTTTCATCCGTGTCTGCTTTTTTGCAAGCACAAAGCCAGGTCCATTAAAATATGCTGCAACATCAAGGAAAAGGAAAAACAATGGCAACAGTAAGGCTGGCATCACAGACCTCTCTAGGTATTAGTCAATCACTTAACCGACTGTGCTTATGCAAGTACGATGACTACCTCTACATTCAGCTATTGAAGATATTATTTAGTCCGTGTGGGCTGGAGACCGCTGGGTATTGGTACGTGATTAATTTATAAGGCATGGAGGAGCATGTAACCTGTTTTCGGTACAAAGAGGAGCACGTCATCTGTAAACCGTACATGATTGGTTAGTTGACATTTTCGAAAACCTAGCTAAATACCGTTTGCTTGTACGTTACGGATTTAACTCTGGGGAATTAAACCGAATTAAGTACATAACACTATTGCGTGATATTACTAATCTGCATGTGAGAAGTAAGTAGTTAACAGTGAGCTATGCAAAAAGGCATTACAATTTATATAGGGAAATCAATGATCTGCTGTTATTCTCTCCATTCGCACCGAAAATTTCTGAAAGTCTGCGAGTGTTTCTAAAAACTGTAATAAAATATCGAGGTTTATACCTTCCCCGCGACATTTTGTACGATTTCGGCAAAAAGTCTCGCAGGTTTGCAAGTTGCCCGCAACATTTTATGTTACCGGCCACCATAGTTTGCAGTGCGTAAATTACATTCTTTGCTACCTTCACAATATTTTTCTTTTAAATAGTATAAATTTCCAATAATGACATTAAAAACAAATATCTTGAGTCTAGATGCTTTAAAAATTGTGTGT